TTTCCTGCTACAGACTACTGCAGCCTTTAGCCCAATGGAGCGGAAATTATATAACACTCCCCGTCTAAGCTCACTTGAGTTCACTTACCAACGATATCCAACAAAGTTACATTCAGGAATTAACTATTTCGAGTTACATAAAGAAAACGCAAATAGCAAACTACATCAAAATACAAGGAATATACGCAATTTTAATGTTCTAAATAAAATTATTCAAATATCAGGCTTTAAAAATATAAGCACAACTATCATAAATGCAAAGAAACAAAATTTCCAGATTTACACTTCAAATTAAACTAACATAATGAAGGATTAATTTTCAAATTCACACAAATTGTACTGAGCCTTTTATATTTCCTTTAGTTTTAATAAGAAAGAGAATTTTGCCGTCTCGTCCTGGTTTACTGCTGTTAAAATCTTTCCCACCATCCACATGAGAGGTAAAGTCGCTGAACGCTGGTAGTTCGGTCCGAATCCCGCGAACGGGCTGGCTGCATGGGCGTTTTCGTGGTTTTCCCCACGTGTAACATGTATACGAGCCAGTGTCCCTTAGAAAGTCCTCCACGGAGGCATCCCTACCCTTAGGCAGATAGCCCTAATGTGCTTTGCCGTAATTAAATAAACGAAACGAAACCCACCATCCACAAATTTATAGGATACCGCTAATTATTAATCAAAACAATATCATTCACCCTAAACGACATTATTTTACGTGATTACGGAGAAATATCGGCTGATCTCAGATTAAGTACTTCCTCTTTTCCCCCCACCTGTTTCAAAAGAGTTCATCTTTTCATCAGATAACACGACACTCGTATTTCAACTGGTGTACATTGATGACTATGCTAATCAATAATTTTTATTATTATAAAATGTTGAATATGACGCGTAGAGATTGATAGGCTCAGAGCTACGACACTTTTCTTCGGACAATGAAGGTAAGCACCTCAAAGAAATATTTTCGAAATGTTTTCGAAAAGGTCCCGACGAGTCCGGATTTCGGACTTTGTTATTAGGACATATTTGCTGACAAGATTACAGTGTCTATTTTGGTTCCTAGTTTAATCAACATTTAAATGTGAAAATGTTATAAACTTGGTATTCTCCCAATACCTCAGCTATAAAATATTTTCAACAGAAAGATTTTTCTTCAAGAAATACATCTGATCTATTTTGTTACGGATACGGGTATGCAAACCGATTTCGAATGGATTATGTCCACATCCCCCATGTGGTCAGTTTTTGGTTTGCTGTCAGGAATACGTCAGTCGGATTTTCTTCGCTTTAATACATGATTCATTGTTTTTCGAAGACCAATAGGCATTTAGCATCTACAACTTTTTTCAACTTATCTTTTAACTCCGGCCTTTTTATTTTTCAATATTTAAAGTTTTTCTTTTTATTCACGTTTCTCGATAGACCGCGGTTTTATATTTTACTCGCAGGTTGCTTCGATTACAGTATTTCCTCACGTATTTTTCGCCATACATTTTTAGCGGCAGGTTCTGAAAATTTTAAAATATTCGCGCAATCTTCTTTTTCTCAATGCGTTTAGAGAACGAACTCGCCTAATACAGACAAGAATAAAAACTGGCGCATTCAAGTTAGGGGAATACGGAAGTGAAGATATCTTATTATATACTGTACCGTTAATATTAATGTGCATCCTTAATGGAATGCAAGTTCCTTTTTTAAAAAAATTGTGATAGTTACTGGTACGTTCTCTTACTGCAACTGCGTCCTTCGGAAATTAAATTATTCGCATAATTTTTTACTCTCTATTTTCTAACGATTAGTTAATTTAAAAAAAAGGGGAGGAATGTGCGAGGAAATACAGTAAATTGCTTCCTTGTAATCACCGTTAGGACTTTCGTTCTAGATCTAAAACGTTTTAGTGTTCTATGTTTTCTAATGTAAAATTTTCTAAATGGATTTAGATTATGGTAAAGCAGTCGCGACCTATATCTAAAGGGAAAGGTGCCTTCGCGGAGCTAACCAGTGGCTACGTTGCTGCAATTATAGTTCATATCTCGGGGCAGGTTCAAATCCAGGCGAAAGGGCTGGCTGTGCGATTGGTTTTCCAAAGTTGGTTACATTGGTACGTGGATACGAATCGGTTTTCTTTAGAAAGCCCTCCACGATGAAATTCTTTCCCTTTAGCAGACAGTTCGCGTGCTTTGCCATAATTAAACAAACTAGCCTTCGTGTGGTACATTCTCAAGAAACTTGTTACACGAAGAAAAAACATTAAAACATGCATGAAATCGGCCTGTTCACCAGGATCTGAAATCAGGTCATGTATGTCATTGAACTTATGTACGCTCACTTGGCCACTAATAGGTCATAGGTTGCCTAAGACCACCTAAAAACTTTCTCGGGGTACACGATCTGTAATTATAATGCATTTTAGCCGACTGTAGTCCGAACACCTTCAAAAGATACTTTAATATCCGACAACTTCCGCACTATTCGCGATCAAAAGATTAATTCTGCGAAAAATATAAGATTACAACACAACACCAAAAATATATTTAGAAAGTCTATAACAAATAATCACGTCCCACGCGCAATAAGTAAATAAACGTACATACAAAAATGCATGATGCCGATTAATAAATGTCAAAATATTCTCGGACTTCCTCCACTTTTTGTATGCGTTTTACTTTGCTTCTGTATTTTTATTTCTTATTTTGAGCTTTGTTTTTGCTTTTTATTTGCATAATTTGTAATTTCAGCACATAAAAATAATTTTCACAGTTTGCCACTGAATACAGATACACGTATTTCTTGCTTCAAGTTCGCAAATACTCGATTTATTTCATTTGAAATCCATCTACCTTGCAACAGGTTTATTTCTGGCGGCACAAAATTCGTGTTATGATCGAGGCAGCACTGCAAGTGCAAAATCGTGAATTTCTATTAAGCATTTCGAGAAAGATCTCACAACCGTAGGACACGTTCTAATTTTAAAATTTTACAATAAATACCAAATACTAGATTCTAAATAACTTAAAACCATCACTAATATCAACAAAAAAAAAATGTCAAAGGAATTTTAAGAATAATTAGTGTTTCAACTGGAAATGTTACTTTTTTCCTCTTTAATCTATAAATCGCAAAGAAACTTTAAAAAAATGTCTGGCAAATCAAGGACAGACTCCAATCCTAGATGAAAATACTAGTAGCCTTAGCTATTTTCGGAAGGTGCATCCGAGTTGTTGTTCTCAAGCCAAAACTAAACACGCGTTTTCGCTTGGACAGTTAATCTGCCCGGAGCACAGCAAATGCTGTAGCCGGTCCTGGACAACTACCATGAATTACAAAAATAATACATTAACTACCTAGTCAGACATCATGAATTACAAAATCTTGAAATAAGAATTAAATATATACATAATCTTCAAATTAATATGTTATCTGAGATATACATCTGTCGTTAACGTCAACAAAGTTACATGTTTATAATAATATCCTTCAAGGAAACCGAATAAATTATTGGTTAATCTTTGGATTACGGTAACTCGGCGATTTTTTTGGCGAAAGTTTGGCGACCAACCCTGTTACAGCAACCTGCTAGTTTTGTTTTAGACGTCATTTTATTTTCACGAAGTAGAGGCTTTTTTTTTTTTACTCAACATTTTTTTCCAACAATCTGCTAGCCGAATTACGCTTATGCTAGAACTTTTATGGAACAAAAGTGCTTAATCATGGCGACATTTTGGTAAGGAGATAAAGGTTACTAGCTAGGACTTTAGCAGTGTACATGGATAAAGTCAAGAGTGTGCGCAATGCCATATAAAGGTTACTAGCTAGGACTTTAGCAGTGCACATAGTCAAGTCAAGAGTGTGCGCAATGCCATTTTTGTGCAATTCTGGGTTTTTAAGTGAAAATAGGTCGAAGTGTACATGGATAACGTGTATGTGCAATTCTTAAAAACGCGGCAAGCAGTTTGCGATTCTGCACTTTCTCCCAATTTCGCACCTAATCTTTGTCATGATTAAGCACTTTTGTTCCATAAAAGTTCTAGCATAAGCCTAATTCGGCTAGCTGATTGTTGAGAAAACATGTTGAGTTAAAAAAAAGCCTTTACTTCGTGAAAACAAAATGGCGTCCAAACAAAAACTAGCAGGTTGCTGTAGCAGGGTTGGTCGCCAAATTTTCGCCAAAAAATCGCCAAGTTACCATAATCCAAAGATTTTCTGATTTCGCTGAAAATAGTTCTAAAGGCCTAAAATATTTTTTAGCCCAGCAAGTCCCATTGTAATGCTTGAAGTAGATTAACTACTGTATCATTACATATAGAAAAATAAGTATGAGTGATAAATTTTTGAAATTTCAAACTGAACACTGTCATATACTGATAAAAATACTGGTAAAATCCTAGTATACGGTACATACAGCTTTGGTCCAAGTTTGAAAATTGATGCAATTTACCGCTCATCATAAAGTCGCCCAAAGTAGCCAAATGCCGTACATACCGTACACTAGGTTTAAAACTGTCAACTAGATAATATTTGTTTTATTATTAACTACTACAAGTTACTTAACACACTATTTTTTAAAACGAAATTAAATAAGGTGGGAATTTTCTTTTACAAAACGAAACATTTTTTTAATTAATTTCGGTAAAGCTAAAACGTTTAGTAATCACTCACATTATGAGGCTTCTTTATATCTTGTTTTAAGCACTTCTTTCAATATAATTATGCAGCCGAATTAAATAATCAGCTGTTACTAAATCTGACCTTTTCAAGAGCTTCAAATTTATTCGCATACATTATTATTAAGGCTTGGATTTAATTTAACATATGTACATATTTCTAGTTTCCCAAACACAAACTAAAAGTTCTGAAACGTGAGAGAAACAATATAAATTAAAAGACTATTACAATTCCCTTTTCATCTGTACCTTAGACATAATGAATTTTTTTTAATAATAAGAATTAAATTAGAATGCTGTAAAAATGAAGAAAACTAAAGTTTCAATAAAAAAGCTCACCTCTCCCTCTACGGTACAAGCTACGACGTAGCAATTAAACGCAATTCCTCAATTGAGCCAAAAGACGCCTTACAATACGATTACGATTAAAGTCACAATTATAGCTTGGCGCCAATTGCAGAAATAAATTCAATATCCGTCAAATGGCAGTTCTGAAGCAAGTATGCAGGCATCTATTCGATAAATAAATTAAAGTTGTTTATCTTTATGATAAAATTAAATCATAAAGATTGATTTTTTTGTACAACTTAGATATAGTATTAATGTGACGAACCAACTTAATCAGAACTACCGCTTTCTTTATGTCTTAGATTTTCAAACGTTTAACTTCTATTACACTGAGTGAAGAAATATTTCAACAAAGTGTTGAGAATTTTCCAACAGATACTTAACTTATTACATAAATTCCGAAACGAAATAAACAAAAGCAAAAAGCAAAATCTTTTTTTTTTTTTTTAACTAATAGTTGTGTGTTGATGTAGACATGCTTAAACAGAGGTTTAAGTATTTCGCTATAAAAATTGGATGAGTATAGTTTCAGATGCTACTATCAATAAATATTAACAGAATCAAATTATTCTTTGGTCGAGCTGATCGCGTACTACGTTTTTATTTTACGAATGTAATAGAAAAAGCAATTTTTTATTTTTCAGTTTTCTAATGATATCAATTTCAACTTCTTTCATAACACATAAACAGTATATCATTATCAGTTCCGTAGAAGAGTAAAAATTATTAAAATCTGCGCAGCAGGGATTTCTTGAGCATCCATTGCGATTTTGTCATTATTATATCTACAATTTGATTTCCTTCTTCTTACATCATGGAAATCGAGAAAGACAAACTTTTAATATATGCAAGTATCATGAAATTGCTGCTTAGAAAAAAAACTTTTCAGGTGAGAGATATTTTGTTTAAAATCTTCCTTCCACTGAAAAATACTCAAATACTACTATGTGCTCTAAACGATAATAAATGTTTAAGAAATTTGAATTCTAATACATTTGCTAATCACGGCAGGTAAAAAAACTTTATTACACAAGCTTTTTAAGTGCATTTATGCCTATGGCGTTTCAAATTGAAATCATAAATTTCAGAGGCATTGACAATGGAATTCAATGGCTTTTCATTTGATTTATCACAGTCAAAAGTCAACATTATGCAGACCTGTAACGGAAAAACAATATTCCGACTGAAAGAAAAACACAGCGCTTTGTGATATTCATGTAGTATGGACCATCACTCAAAATGCTTGTTTCTTACTCTGAAATTTTGAAGAAAATCGAGTAATTAGCCATTACTCTCAACATAAATGATGGGTCTCCCGACTTGAAATGCTGTAATTTTTTTTATTATGGGTTACCTGAATCCTCCATTGTCTCTGGCAGTGTGAAAAGAGAATATGCCAGAACACTGCTTATTGATTCCTACAAAAATGCTACTTCTGTTTCCGTATGTTTTAACTCATTTTCGGGAAGTGCCCAATAATGAAGTGTGCTTTATTGAGCATTTATCAAAATTCATTTTGTATCATTCACAGTCAAACGAAAGTAGTTTTAGTTGAAAAATTTACGTAATAAAATACGTTGAGGAAACGGTGATTTTACATAGTTCTGCTTAATTTTGCGACTGTAATTTGAAAACTTATAGCAACAAAACTTTTTTAAGGTTACTGATTTTTGAATTAATGTTTGTTATTAAGAAACGTACTGCTCTCTATTACGCTGATGAGCAATATGCTGGTACAGTTTTAAAGATATGTTAAAGATAACATGTTATTCATCAAAATCTATTGCCATTCTATTATTTTTTAATTTCTTCGGTATCAGAAAAAAGAAAAATGACGCTTTTACTAAGCATTTTATACAGAAAGAATAGATTTACATTCAGCCTGAAAATGATTCCATTTCAGTAACAAATAAAAGAGTAAAGCTAAAATTCGTTATACAAACAAGACTTCGTACTTTTAATTACTGCACAGAATAAAGCTATAAATGCTTTCAAACTTCAAACTTCCTTGCCTGTTATTATTCGAAATTTTCCGAAATGTACGCAAAACTTATCCTCGAATTTTTCGAAATTTATTTTAAAGTCGATGATATTCTTCCTCCCGAGTTAAGACAATAACCTTCGGACAAATATCTGCCTGTTCTTGAGGAAGTAATTTTCCACGGAATCCTAAAATTTCATTTTACCTTTTAAATAAATAGTCTGAAGATAAATATCTATGACATGAAACCTTTGTTGGCTTTCCCGGAATCAATGACTTTTGGAAGATGATGGATTCTGAATTCTTTTTTGAGGGAGAAAAAATTCGTAAGCTGGGGTAGAAAGCGTGAGATAATTTAATGGTTAATTCTTAGATTGTGGAGAAGATTAAAGGAAAATATTTTCATAGAGTTACCTACATCATTTCTGTTTGCAGTGCCTTTGGATTTCATTCAAACGTTAAAATCTGGTTCAATAGTAAAGTTATCGCCGTGTCCTTTACAAAGGGAGGCCCACCAGCAGCCGAGCGGTAAAGTCGCTGAACACTGGTAGTTCGGTCCGAGGTTCGAATCCCGCGAACGGGCTGGCTGCATGGGTGTTTTCGTGGTTTTCCCCATGTGTAACGTGTATACGAGCCAGTTTCCCTTAGAAAGTCCTCCACGAAGGCATCCCTCCCCTTAGGCAGATAGCCCTAGTGTGCTTTGCCATAATTAAATACACCAACACACCTTTACAACGGTTCGCTCAAGTTCTTTGGATCATTCCAAAGTATAATAGGGTTATCTGCCTAAGATCAAGCTGCCTTCGTGGAGGGCTTTTTATAGGAATTAATTCATATTTATGTTACAGATGGAGAAAACCATGAAAACTTCCTTGAAACCAGCCGTTCGTTTGGATTTGAACTCGAGTCGAACTACCAGTATTTAGAAAACTTAGTGCTATCTTTTCTTACACAGGCCAATTTTTTTATCATCAAGGAAAGAAAATGAACTGACCAAATGGATTCTTAATAAGCATAGCGTATTCATATTAAGTCTTTACTCCTAATAATCGGTAAATTGAAGTACAGCGTCTGTTATAAAATATCATATGGTAAAATTGATTTTAAGTTTTTTTTTTTTTTTTTTTTTTTTTTTTTTTTTTTTTTTTTTTTTTTTTTTTACTGACGTTAGAAATGATAAGTTGAACTATAATGTCTGTAGTTCTGTAATAGACATTCATCTGTATGCCTGCTATAAAATATAGTATGGTAAAAAGGATCCTACTTTTTTTATTTGTAAGGTTTTTATATTTATTTACACATAAATAAATATAATGGTAAGGTGGAAATTGTTGTCTTAATATTTCTATTTTAAATATTTATTTTCGTCGGTTCCCATCAGGATGAAAACCAGTTAACATATATAAGAAGAGAGTTTTCGAAGTTCCAGAATATCTTTTTTGACAGAGACCGCTGACCTCCGATTTTCGTTTAGCTCTTTGATTTACTTAAATTGGATTTATCCATTTGCAAGCCATGTTTGCTCGCGTGAGTAGAAGGTCTGAGCCAAAGCTTATAACAAAACTTCACCATGTGAATTGCATTTTTCTTTTCTCTTTCGATTTCTCTTTTTTTATATTAGCTTAAATCCAGTAAGCCGCGGTGAACTGTTTTGCAATATGCAAGCTGTGTGGCTTGTCTCTTAAAACAAAGTTACAGTAGAAAGGCTTATTTCTAACGTCGTCTGAGTTTTGTAGTTATTGCTCTGAAAATCTAAAACAAAAAAATTTCCCTCATTATCTACATGGAGCCAGACGTTAGCTTGAAATACTACCGGTCATGTACACATTGCTCACACCAGTGGCTGAATGGTTACGACAACTAAATGCTGGTAGTTCTTCCTGGTTTCGAATCCATGCTTGAACTGGCTGCATGGTGGATTTTTGTGACCTTCCCCATGCGTAACAGGAATACCAGGTATTTTCTCTTAGAACGTCTTGCACGAAGGCATCTCTTCACTTAGATGAATAGCCTCCTTGAGCTTTGCCATATTTCCATAACCAAGGCTAGAACTATGTGTACTGACGTTAGAAACGACAAGTTGAACTAGAGGGCCGGGATTAGGCAATTCGTAGTCATTTGCGAATTTGAAAAATACGGCCTGCAAGATGAATTTTTTTATTTTCATTTCTTTTCACGGCAAAAGAGAATTTAGAAAAAGAAGTGAAACAATAAAAATAATTAGTTTTAAAGAATTAATTAAAAATTTTTAAAAATCAATCCATATACACAAAAAGTTTATTTTTCCACATTTTTTATATGAACGACGGTAAAAATAATTTATTTTATATCTCATTCATCCCACACATCATTTTTAATTATTATTAAGAAAGATTAGGATATATGTTTTGTGAGATACTCGTACATAAATATATCTTAACCAACTTTAGTTTGGAAAATGCTCTTTTACCTCTTGCGATACAAACAGATTAAGTTAATAATGCATTTAATGGAATGGACAAGTTAATAAAATATGAATTCATTCATGCAATTAACCTATAAGGTATTTCTTCCGCCTTCTTAGCGAACCTTCATTCTCTAAAAATCCCAGTAGCCCTTTAAAAGGGTGAGTATATAAGGTATTTCTCCCACCTTCTTAGCGAGCCTTCGTGGTGTAGTGGTCTGCACGCTCAGCGCGTAATTGAGAAGTCCGCGGTTGTATTCCCGGCGAAAACGTTGCTAATTCTTCATCTTGCTGCTTTCAAAAATACCTAATGACTCTAGAGTGGCGCCCGAACTAAAATAGTGTTGGATGATGATTCTTCTCACCCAGGATTTGGCGACTGCGTCCCCTAAAAAGCCCAGTCGCCTTTTAAAAGGGGGAGTATGTAAGGTATTTCTTCCCGCCTTCTTAGCGGCCTTCGTGGTGTAGTGATCTGCACGCTCAGCGCGTAATTGAGAGGTCCGCGGTTCGATTCCCGGCGAAGATGTTGCTAATTTTTCATCTTACCTGCTTCCAAAAATACCTAATGACTCTACAAACCACAGAATGTGAAAAGGATTCTGAGTTTTCAACCTATCCTCATAAATATCTTTAGAAAGACACTTCTCGCGGCAGAGACA